AGATGATAGTCCGCTCAAGCTCCTCAGACGCATAGGTCACATTAATTTTAGTCACCGAGCTGGCGACTTGCGTTCTAATTTAGTCGCCAACTCCAAAATTCTAGTCGCCATGGCGACTAAAATGGTCGCAACTTGGAGGGTTGACAAGGTGTCTCAAAAACTATGATAGCCCCCAAGGTCTTTGTATAGGACAAATTTGAGACTTTCTGAGAGTTTCTGGTCTACTTTGAATTCAGGCTTGTCTTCTCCATCCGCCATGTTTTAAACTTACCATTTAGCCGCACCTTGCTGCCAACCAATCATAAGCATTGAATTCAAACTTGTTGCGAGGCAAGTTGTAACTTCAGTGGTAATACAAGCAGCAAAACTAAAATTTGTTGTAGAAAGTAGAACTCATGTCTGCTTTGTGCAACAAGTTGCCTCAACTTGCAAGACTGTCTTTTACTTCAAGACAAGTTGGTCACTGACACGGTAATAAGGTTTTTATTTTTACCTCTGCTATACACAATGTAGTTTTGATGAGTTTTTAAAAAGGAAATTAAAGCATTCATGTAGATGTAGTATCAATTTACCCTGTGCAGTGCTGTTACTAATTGGTTTAGCTTGTCATCTGTAGCCTTGTTCTCCACACCCGTAGCAAATTTGTTACTTTATGGGTGAATTCTATCAACAACAGGCAATTTCACCTGCAGCATCAAGGGAAAATCAAGTATACTCAGCCRTATTAAGTACTATAGGTTACGGCCCTTAATGACAGCCCTGCTGTAGTTGAAGTTCTTGCACTCCTGTTGTAAGGATGTCAAGACTGGCATTTACTAAGTGAAATCAGTTTTGGCAGCAGATAATTGACAGGCTTAGCTTCTCAGAGACATTGTATCAAGCAACCCTAATGTAGTTTGAATAAAAACAAGATGCTGTGACTGACAACACGGTCTCAAATTATAAAAATAATGATGACAAGTTGTGAATGACACAAAAAAGCATAATGTACTTTGAATTAACCATGCATACATGTAAACATGTTCAGTGGTTTCATTATGGGCCAGGCACTAGAGGCAAATTGACCAGCTGTGAGAACAATTTTGCCTGGATGGTTTGACCATCTAGCAGAAAGTTTTTCTTACAAAGAAGTTCATGTTTCTAATAGTTTTGCCCACCTTTGAAAACCAGTTGCCCAGCTACTGAAAATGGTAATGAAACCCCTGCTGTACTGGTATTCTGATGTGTTTCATTCTTTTCTCCAGTTATTCACAGAAATATAGACAAGGTACACGTATAGTGTAGAGGGCAATTTCTATGCGGCAGATGAAATTCCAGCACAGAGTCAAGGATGAATCCACAGTTCTGCTCACCATTACCTTTGAGACCCAGTTTTGTCCCTGTTGTTGTGAGACCAACTGTTCCAGTACTGTACACATCCATCACACAAGATCAATCACCTCCTGTTCATGGAATCCCCTTGTTTCCTTTTAGTCTGACACCTGAGGCTAGCTTTAATGGTCAAACAACAATTGGTGTGGACCACAGTAAAGGTAATGAGAACTTGTGTTAGTATTATCTGGCTCAACTTAGCTATCTATGTGAGAATTTGCAGGTCATTTCAAAATTGTACATGTATCGTTTTTTGAGAGGGCAATGAGGAAAATTTGATGTTGAAGTGTGTAAGAGGCCTGCATGTCTTGTAAACGTAACAGAAGTGTTTTATCTTTACTAACAACAGAGCATCGAACTATACACAGCCATGTTGAAAACAGACTAATGAGAAAAGCACATGGTCAAACATAACACCAATTGGCTTATTTGACAATAAAATTATTGACATTATCATCACAGAGAGTACTAAGAGAATGCTTTACACTGTAGGTGACCATGAGAAGTTTTGTTAACACTGCATTTATTCTGAATGATTCTGGTCTTTGTTTGATACATGAACTTCATTTTCCAATGATGTATGTGTACTGTACAAGTAATGTACTTTGACACATAAGATCTAATCAAGTTGATTAACTGGCTCCAGTTGTTCAAAGGGTGGATAATGCTATCGAATGGATATATCACTATCCAGCGCAAAATGTAGTTTGTTTTGTCAACACTTATCCACTTATTTACATGAATCTGGTGGATAGCATTACCTGTCCTGTGAACAACTGGACCCAGAAGTTTTCCAAAGCCTATATATCAAAGACTTCATAGTATTTCTGAAAATGACTCAAGGTGAGAAGATTCGTGGAAACAGTGTATTTTTTAGTACAACTGTATGTACAGTGTACCATAAATCATTACATGATATACTCATGGAATTTGTGACCCAAGGGCACTCATGATGGTTTGAAAGGTCTCAATTTGTTCTTGCATGAAAGCATGTGATATTTTTTAGAACTTTCAAAACATCAGTCATTTGTATTAATCACACATTGTACTCTTTTACTTTTATTGTTTTGTTATTATTTCCTGCATTAAATTCCTGGCAAAATTCTTTGAAACATTACACCGCACACTGTGTTTCTTTTGACTTTGATATAAGGGCAGGTCAAATAAGGAAGAGGTTTTGGTTGTCTAGGGTAATAACAAGTGCTGTGCAATGGCTCTTCTTCATTTACTTTAACTGTGAGCCTGAGAGTATCTTGGCATGGAATTATCTGCTAGAGGTGAACTGCAAGTGAATATTAGACCTGTCCGTGTGACTGTTAAAGTTTCTGTCATTAACTTATAAAATCAAGATACTCTTATTTGTAGTAACATGAAGTCCTAACTGACCGCTGACCGGCGGTAGAGGAGAGAACTGTGCTAGCTGTAGGAATCAACCGTATTAAAGCATGTTGCGTTAATGTTGTTTGTCTTGGTACCTTTCCGGACACAACATGGTGTCAGAAGCGAGATCGTCCTACTAGCCTACAGCTGC